TGACCGTACCCCCAAAATCGCAGGCAACACCCACCCACATGACCACCGAACAGATCCTACCTGGAGAGGCTGGTTCGTTCGTCTACACATACATACTATTCTGAAGCTTGCTACCAGCATCTCAGCTCATTCATCCTAACACTGGGCCCAAAATTGGGTTCGAACGAATCAGGAAGCAAACGCGTTGGATGTGGATTGTTTTGTACGAGCTTGCCATAAAAGCAGATTTATAACGATTTACTGGTTAGATTAAACAGCCTTCCCCCATAATAAAGCGATTTCCCGGTACAATATTACCACAAAGGGCATTCAGTGACTTCGTGTGCGCCCTTGATTTAAAAAAGCAGTTGGTCTCGTGATAGCGCCTAACTAATCCAGGGCCAGATGTGTAAAATAAATGACTAGCTGAAGGACTGAGAAACGGTGGAGGGGCGGGATTTGATTGACTGATCAGGAGCCACGTAACTATTGATCATCATCAGCTGAGCGTTAAATTATGTGAATTTCAAATGAAGTAAATAGTTTCAGTAAATAAAGTAATATTACCTTGCGGAGTTTTCATACTTCGTCTACCACATATATGATCTTCATTGTGAACGCCAAATTTAAATATTTTTTGGTACTTTAAAAATCAAGTAAAATGAGGTGAATATATCGAACGAGTCACACAGCGCTATTGTTTTGCACGGGTTTAATAAACTGTGCCGATGTACAGGTGCTATTCAAACGCCCGTATCCATGTCAATTTATCCAGTAACTTATGGCTACTGAAATTCCTTCCAGTCCCGCTTATCATGTGCACATGTGTCTACTTGACCGAAACCAGCATCATATGTGGTGATTTCATTCAGGTCGACACACACACACAAGTAGTTACATTTATATCAATTAATCTGCGATTCATTTCATTCGTGATTTATGTTACTTGTTTTCACACACACACACACACACACACACACACACACACACACACGCACACACACAGGCGAGCGAGAGCGAAAAAGCAGATCCGATGATCCGAGCGAGTGCGAGATTGCATTTTTATGACTGCATTCTACTGGACTAATTTATAGTCTATCATGATATATTGCACCATACACTTGGTGATTTCCGTTTACGTCCTTAGCCACGTTTGCTAATAGACAGTGTCACTAGTCAACAAAATCCTGGAACAGGTTAAAGTTTTTTGTGGACCACTAACTCATCTGGTTTAGGGTCTACTTTATCTATTACTGTCACCACCATCACCGCCGTCACCAGCTGTGTAACCGAGACGTTGAATTTTTTTCTACTGACTATTAAGCTACGGGATGTGGTAAAAAGACAGTGGAAGGATTGCAATTGTGTTAATCGGTGACCTACTGACGCTCACCATCATAACTGACTTGTTCTGGTTCTGGTATTGCTTAACCAATGTCTCAAAATGCATCATAACATCGTTCAGCCCGAAAGTTTCTCCATCCCATACAAACACTAGTTTGCAAACACGCTTGGTTTTGGGTATTTTGTTACCTGTCAAAATATGGTACCTTTTATATATCGAGAGAACGATCGTATGGGGCAGAAGGAATTCAATTCATCTAAAATAATTTCGATACTTTATAATCAAAAAGTGTGAACGTTTATGTGTGACAACGAGCAGTGATCAATAAACGGGAATATTTAGACAAATGTCACTGGTTAGGTTGCCTGATTGACAGAAACATAATCAGATGAGAAATAATGTTACATTTTCTGTTGCTAGATTGCTCAAGGTTCCGTAGAGGGAGCGCCTAGAAGTCTTCACTTGAAGATTTAGGCTCACCAAGCCCAATTTCATAAAAGAAAGTATCAGTTACAATCATGCGGTAGGATTCAGTGACTACCTACGACCGAGGTGATTTACTGTATCTTTTTCAATTTAAGATATCCGAATATCAATTTAAGATGTCATGTTGCTATGTGGATAGTACCTTGCACAGTACAGAGTGAAAACGTTCGATGGGACCCCTGTTTACCCAGATCCATGTGCGTCTTACCTGCATACTGATCTATGACCCCCGAAAATATCGTCCCACGCTCAACAAAAATATGCACCGAAGATGATCTTGTCTGCTTGTTTGCACACACAGACTGGACAATGCACTGCACAATTCAGTCAGAGCTATGCCACCATGCGCAAACCGACAAATGCCTAGTTGAATACGAAACAAAAAGGAGCGCTCTAGAGTTTGGTGGGGTCTCTCACACGATGACCACATTTCTCACTTGACCAAGCAAATGAGCTACAGACTGAACAGTGCTCGCCACGAACGTTCATGGTCTCATGAATGAAGTGTTTCCGGTACACAAGGGGTGGTAGCGGACGACATGGGATGGGGGTCGAACGTTTGCAATGTTCAGCGCAGCACTGAAAGAGACCGTGAATTAGACTCAGGCGTGTGACAACTGGGACAGCATCTATGCTGTCTTGTGCAAAATGTGTATGACTGATATAAAATACCACGGAAAGGAAGCACGACAATCTGTTTCGGGTTTGGGATATTCGTGTGTGTGCAAAGTGGTGAGCACTTTTACCTGTCGCCCATCCAAATAATTGCTGTTTGTGGTGCAGCAGACCTCTTTTCCGCCTTTAGCCTCAGTCGCAATGTTTCCAAAGAGACTGTACAGTCCTCACTGACCCATCCAAGCAACTGATTTATTTCTACTTCGCATAAACTCTTCCTCTTGTATCTGCCATGTCGCCCGTTTATACGATTATGTTGTTTATCGAATATCCAGCGGGAAGCTGTTCGTAATGCACACCCAGAGCAGCGGCGGTAATTTGCCAATTGCAATCATTTTCATGAGCCACCAAGACAAGGCGCTTTGTCTAATCAGCGTAAGGCTTTCTCGATGTACGGCTAGTCATTGTAATGCAATCGAAGCTGTAGAAAATGTCAGATATCGCCCGAATCCAATAACCGAGCGTTTTATCGGATGTAGTGAAGGTTAGAAACAGGAACCTTCCGTGTCTATCAGTCATCTGACTCACAGGTAAA